CTTAAAGAGTTCTCTTGCGATACAGAATTAACTTGTATTTTAAAATTTTATAGAAGGCCTTCTAATCGTAAGGCGAAATCAAGGTATTGGTAAAATTAAAATAACTTTTGAACGAATTGTGATATTAGGAAAATTTAAACGGTTATTAAAAGCTTCAAGAGTTATCTTGAGATACATAATTAACTTGTATTTAAAAATTTTATAGAAGGCTTTCAAATAATTATTGGCATTATTTGTTAGCAAAATTTGTCAACTTCTGATAGAGATTTGAAATTTGTCGTAGCACACAAATAAGCAGTGTGTTCTAAGCTGCTCATAACCGTTTAAATCTATCAAAAATCACAACGCGTTCAAAAGTTATTGCAATTTTACCAGGACCTTGATTTTGCCTTACGACCTGTCAGTTATGCGACTGGGACGCCATCTATTGATACGGTAGATGGTGATGGCGAAAATGAAAAATTTAAGGTTCTGGTATTTTTGCCATAATTTTTGAACTACTTGAGGTATTTGAATGAAATTGGTGTCATATGAAAGCTAAGGATGCTGGCTATTGTGATGTCTGAGCATAAATTTATAACTATAAAATGATTCATGTGAAAAATTGGCTTAAAATATATACATAAAAATTACAATATGAAATAGTGGTTTAAATAAAAATTAGTTTTTACTATAATAAAGACAACATTTTGCCCTTTTATATGACACCTTATTTGTGTTAATAGAGCCGATGGTTAAAAAGTTACGGCCAGTTGAAGACGATTCTGAAGAAAAAAAATAATGTAATGGATATTTTAAATTTTTTTTATAAAATCCACGCCTTTATGTCGCCTAGAAAAAAATATTATTTGAAAAATCCAATCAGCGCATAATGGGTCTTAAAAAATATATATTTTTGTTTTAAAACCATGCCCTGATTGGACATAAGAAAACAATCACCTACGAATTTAAAAATCGGACTACATACAGACCTAAAAGTATGCTACAATTTTCTTTACAAACCGCCAGCAGCCATTATGAAAGAGAAAAATTGCCCTTTTCAAAACATCAATTTTTGTGTGGTTTTTAATTTTCATGTAATAGGCGCTCAGCATCGAGTAGTAGGGGGTATTTCGGAACATCGTTGACTTTAAATGCAAATAACTCAATAACTACTTAACCGATTTAAATAAATTTGGTAGCAATGGTTAGAGGGAAATCTGGAGATTTATTACATTTTGACAGTACATAAAAAGACTAATGTTACGTAGGAGAAAATTAGCATTATGTGACAGTTACCAAGGTAGGCACGCTATCTTTGTTCGATTTACAAGAAATTTCGCATAGGCTATAGAATTGTGTCTAGAATAGTGTATTCTGTTCATGATTGGTCTGAGGGCATACAACTCAGTCCTTGGGCTAATTGTGAATGAAAGACTTTGGTGAGTGAGTATATGTAAACACCAGAAGGAAAAATTAGCCAAGGAAAAAATAACGGGTTTTTTACATTTTTGAATCGGATATTTAGATAATAAAATCGGTTTCAATACTTCATATGCCTACCTAAATTTTTAACCGGATATTCAGATAACTTATATGCATATTATTAGAAAGCTAGTGAAAAAAACATGCTAAATTTTTTGAACCGAACCGGATTATCGGTTTTATTAGATGAATATCCGGTTCAAAAATTTAGAAAAGCGGTTCTTTTTTCCTCGAATTGATTTTTTTTAATTATTTTCTTAAAAACAAAAATAGTTATTACAAGTATGCCAAAAAATAAATTTGGGTGAAAAAAGAACCGGGATTCTAAATTTTTTAACCGGATATTCAGACAGTAAAACCGGTTTCAATACCTTATATGCATATCGTAAGAAAGCTAGTCGAAAAATCATGCTAAATGCATTGAACTGTATAAACGGTTCCAAAAAAAATTTGAAAACCTTCTCCCATACCATGACCTTGATTTTGTCACACAGTTTTATTAGACTCCAAATTCCAACGTAGATTTTTTTAATAAACTATGTCAAACAATTTTATTTCGAGGAACGAAGAACCGGTTTTCCAAAATTCTTGAACCGGATATTCAGATAATAAAACCGGAAAACTAGTAAAAATAACGTGCTAAATTTATTGAACCAGACCGAAGTATCGGTTTTATTAGATGAATAGTCGGTTAAAAAAATTAGAAAATCGGTTCTTTTTCCTAAAATTTTATTTTTTTAAGTATATACATCAATCAAATGCATCAAAAAGAAATTTAATTCGAGGAAAACAGAACCGGTTTTTTATATTTTGATCCGGATATTCAGATAATAAAACCGTTTCAAAACCTAATATGCATATCATTAGAAAGCTAGTTAAAGCAGCATGCTATTTGACGCCAGAAAAAATGTTGTGAAAAAATCATTTTCGAGGAAAAAAGAACCGGTTTTCTAACATCTTTAACCGGATATTCAGTTAATTAAACCGGTTTCAATACCTTATATGCATAACATTAGAAAGCTAATTAGAAAAACGTGCTAAATTTATTTATTTTATTAGATGAATATCCGGTTCCAAAAATTTAGAAAACCGGGTTTTTCGTCAAAAAAAATGTTTTTGATCCGGAAAATTATTACGTCATATCTCCGAAACCTTATGGCATTTTTTCTTTCTGGTATTTTTCACATACTCAACCAAGGTCTTTCATCCCCCAATGGGAATTTTCAACCCCCCAGACCATCATCTCGATTTTGTAGCACAAATTCCAACAAATTCCAACGTAGATTTTTTAATGAATTTTTTGTTGTTGTTTTTCTTCTTCATTCATTGTTCCAGTGGCAGTTTTTCACAATATAAAAAAGAAAATTGGAAAAACATACTCTCAAGAGAACTGAAGAAAAAAAATGAAAATTAAACCAAGCCTAACCAAAAAATGAAATAAAATAAAAAACCATTTTTTTTTAATTCATAATTTTTTTGAAACAAAAAAATGTTTTTTATTGGTAGGATAATTTTTTGTTGTATTCTTTGTTGTTGTTTTCTAGGATTGTTGTATATTAAAAATTAAACTTAAAATTAACAGAAAAAATTAATAATTACTAATCAAAAGAGGGTTGGGGGGAAGGTGAGGGAAAATATTTACAACTGCCATGTAAGGGAAAGAAATTTATTTTTTTTTTGAGCCTAAAAAGAAAAGGGAGATCTTAATTTTTTGCCCTTAAAAAAATTATAGAAATTAAAAAAATAAAAGAAAAGTAGTTGTTTTTGTTTTTAAAAAAAATGTTTTTTGTTTTCTGTTTATTTCATAAAATGAAATGGAAAATATCTTTTTTGTTGGTTTGTTTTATAGAACTAGTTAAAAATAAAATCTTATAAGATAAGGGGGTTTGCTTATGAAAAACTAAATTATTTAAAAAATACAGCATAACTAAAATTAAATAATAATTATAATTTTTTGTTTTTGTTTTGTTTTTTTTCATAATCAGTAGGTTTTATAGTTAAAAAAAAATTAAATACATAAAAACAAATTTGTAATCAATAAAAATAATAATAATAGTAATAATAATAAAAAATTATAACTGCAAAAACAAAAAAATGTAAATGTATTTATAGACTTATTTTATTATTTATATATATATAGTATATTTTTCCATGTTTTCTTTTTTTGTAACAACTGCCACTTCAAAAAAATTTTTTTTTTTGTAAAGAAAAAAATCATCAGCTTCATCAATATTTATAAATATTTTCATATAAAATAAATCAATAGTAATCATTTTTTTAAAACTCGCAGAGTTCCTTTTAAGGAAAATTTCCAACATTTTTTCTGTTTTTGTAAATTGTTGTTGTTCTTTGAAAAAAATGTTTTCTATGAAATTTCCAGGAATTTTAGGCTTCAAGCCCATCCAAAAAATATACATTTATCAGGGTTAAGTAAAATTAATTTTTTGTTTTTGTAGTGGTTGTTTGTTTTTAATTAATTAAATTTTTAAATAATTACAATTTAAGAAAAAAATGGTTTCATTTAATACAGGTTTGTTGTTTTCAAATTTTTTGTGTGTGTAATATTTTTTTTTTAATTTTTGTAAATACATAGTTTTTTTTTTAAATTCAAGCTTAAGTGTTACTATTTTTTTTAATAACATATTTTTTTGTAATTTAAAAAAAGGACTTTCACATATTTTTTTGCATGCATAATTATGTTTTTTTTTTTTTTGTACAAGTTGTTGTTGTTGGTTTTTTAATAATTTAATTTTTTGTTTATAATTAATAGCAATTAATTAAATTGGGGTTTGTTTTTTAATTTTTTTTAACAGCAAAGAAAAAATAATTTTTTTTCATGATTGCCCACCCCTGTATTTGTGTGTTGGGTTGAATTTTTTTAAGGAAATTGGTTGATTGGCTGCCATTTTGTTTTCATTCTCTCATCATCATGAGCATCATCCTCTCTTCCATTCGCTCTCTCTCTCTCTTTCATCCTGTTACTCTATGATTTTCTTAAAAGTTGTTGTTGGTTTTTGTGTTTCTTATTTTTAGCAAAGTTGTGTTTGTTTTTGTTTTTGCATCAGTCTCGATCATGTTGAATTGTGTTTTTGTATTTTTTTTTAATTTGTTTTTTTCAAGTAGACTTTTTTACAATAAGAAGTAAGAAGAAGAAATGTACAGGGGAAACATTTTCATTTACACTAGCAGCGTGGAGAAAACATCTCTGGGGGGAGGTGGCCATTTTGTGGTCTCTTTGTTGGGGGGGTTGTGGAGGGAGAAGGGGGGTTTAATGGAGATGAGAAAGAATTTTAAATCAAATCAAAATACTGTTGCAACACAAAAAAAAAAGAAATAGAATTTGAAAATATTCTCTCTTTTCCTTTTTCTCTCTCTTCTCTTTTCTTTCTCTTTTTCTATCATCCATAAAAAATAAATCTCCATATTTATTTTCTCTCTCTCTCATATTAATAACATCTATCAAACACTCAATGTCATTGAGAATTATCTTCGGTTATTTTCTGTTCGATGATCCCCTCTCTTGGTTTGCCACACACTTACGCTTCCAACATAACCTTTGTTGCCTGCGAACTAGTTGCTACAACACCTGAAGCTACTGCTGGCCCCACCCCACTACCAGTTGCCGTCACTGTAACATCAGCCGATACTGTGGGGTAGCGCTGGGCCGCTGTGGCAGCTGCCACCAAAGCCTGCAATTTACTGGGTGGCGGTGTGGGCGATTTCTTCGACAAATTCAAGGGCTGTTGAGAATCGGCAATGTCCACCTGCAATTCCAATAGACGTGGTGGTGTATTCATGGCCGAGGGTGAGGGCCTGGGTGGTGACACCGAAGCCGAGGTGGAGTGCGGTGATTGGAAATACTGGCATCCCGATGAGGACGATGTGGAGGACGACGAGGCGGAGGAGGAATTCGATGAGGTGGAGGATGATGATGAACCATTGCTGCTGGGCGAAACCGATTGCTGGCGTTGATTTATTGTGGTGGTGGTAATCACGGAATGTCCCGACCAACGTCCGGCGGCCCCATTAACGGGTGGTGAGGCCAAGGCCGTCACCGTGGTGGTTGAGGGCGAATTGCAATTGGAGTTCGGTGAACTGCTGGGCGAATTGCCATAAAGACCATGCACTTGCATCACACCAGGAGCCGGGCTACGACTACCAGGGCCATGTGGTGAGCAAGCCATTAAATTCGTCGAACTCGATTCCCTCATAATATAATTCTGGATAATATCCGAACGTTTCATTTGTTCGGGCGTCATGCGTGGCTCAGCCATCAACGACTTGGCCAACACGGAATGGGTACTGGACAACGATGAGGTCTGCTGCTGCTGATGGTGGGCACCACTGTTCGAATTGGTGGGTGTGGGCCGGGTCAGATGCATATGCAGCTGGCTCTGATGCGACGGCTGAGCAACAATGGCTGGCGGTGAGCTGGCGGCCACAAATGATGTGGGCGGCGCCTGGGGGGAATGCGTTGCCTGTGGCACCATAAGCACCTGATTTTGTGAGCCGGCGGCGGAGGAGGAGGTGGAGGTTGTTGCAGCTGCAGATGGTGGTGGACTTTGGTTACCGCCCGCCGTCAATTGGGGACTGCTGGCAGCGGCAGGTATGCTCGAAGATGATGATGATGCAGAACCGGGATTTGTTGAACTGGTGGCATCAGCCTCGGCTCCCTCAAACTCCCGATGCCGTAGAGCGCGGAATTTCTTGTGCGGCTTATAGGCCTCATCCATCAGGGAATTTGTATCATATAGCGGAGGAGCCTGCAATACTCTTTTCAGCACGGGCATATCATCGACAATTTGACGCTTCAAGGTGGCCGCGGAACCACCACCCATCATATTGGAGGGAGATGTGGACGATGTTGAGGTGGCTGCCGCTGACATGGGTTGCGGTGAGCGAACCGGTGACACCGACACTGTAACCTGGCTACTGCTGGCGGCTGCCGCCACTGCTGCAGCTGCGGAATTTTCACTGCAATCCAAAGCATCATCGACACTGGAACGCGGACTGGAGCATGAGGAGGAACCACCGGAGCTGACGGTCTTACCACCACATTCTGTTTTCTCATTACCCGATTCAATACCCGAGTCTGTGGGTGAATCCAATTTACGATAACGATGCTGGGCCGGACCACTGGTCAGATGATGGTGCAGCTGTTGGTGGGAATGTGCCCTTACAATGGGTGTGATTGTCAAACCATTTTGTGTGAGATGGGCATGCGAGCCGACAATGTCCAATTCATTTGTGGAGTCACCAGATGAGCCGGAATTGGCACGATTGCGTAGAGGGCAGGTGCCGGACAATGTGGCAGCCAATAGAGGGGCCGAGGAGGCCAACGAAGAGGTTTGTTGATGTCCCCCTACCAAATGGTGAGGAGCTCCACTGCTCGTCGTTGTGGTTGAGGCAATTTGATAATCCAAATCCCCAGACTCTGTGCTCGAGACCGAACCCAACGGACTCTTGGCCTCCACATCCATACGATGATCATCCCAGCCATTGGGACTCTTGGACAACACCTGTTGGGCATCATCATCCATGGACCACATTTGTTGACGCAACAATTCTTTGTGCTCGGTACGGAATACAACCAATTTCTCGGTGTGCAAGGTGCTGAGGGTACGCAAATCAGGCATGGTATCGAGCAGCTTGCTCATGAAATCCGGTTGATCGGGACGATTTTGATTGATGATGGTCTGGAGGCAGCCCTTCAAGCGATTGTACATACGTTCGATCAGTTCAATGTTACGCAAGCCCGGTCGATCGGGTGTGATCAAGACAATGGCGCAGAACAGGCCAATTTCAGCATCTGTCAAATTCATGGAATTCATGCGTTCCGCAAAATTGAATGTGGAATCGACAAGGAAACGGGCATTGGCACCATTTTGGATAGCATCGCGACGCATTACCTGGCCATTAAGGCAGATTATGCTGTTAATGGAATTATCGAACATGCAGATCAAGCGTACGAACAGGGCATCGAAGAGACCAGCCTTGAGGAGGGTGAATTTGTCATCCTGCGAGAGTAGCTGGAAACCGGGAATCATGCCGGCGAAATCAATGACACCACGTATGACATGGGCAAAACGCTGGGAGAATTCTTGTTCGGATTGTAGTTCAGGGGCGGGATTGAGTGGGCAGGCCTGCAATGAAAAAAGAAAAAAATAAATATTTCCAATTAGTTGTGATTTATTGTATTATTTGAAATCATGAATTGTATGGCTGTCTATAGGTCTGTATGTGCGGAAAAACCTTGCATGTTATTTCTATGAGGAAATTAATGAGGCACAACCTAACCTCCCACTAACATGTGTGTGAGCTATTTGAAATTTATACAGTTATTATGAAAAGTTCAGACGAAGGTTAACAGGAAAAATATTGAATTTACAATAACAATAAAAAATAATCAATGAGGAAAAGCTTTTTTTAAGAACAGGTGGTCAAGGGAGAAGGCTTGCCACTATTATTTTTTTCTGCTTTATAAATAGTTTTGTTTTTAAAGTCAAGGTTAATAACCTAAAAGTTCAAGGTAAAAAAATACCCCCTCTCTCAACTACTCACAAAATATTCTTTCCGGTTTTCAAAAAATAGTTTTAGATTTTTAGAATGTTTTTAACGTCATTTGACAAACAAATAGAACATGAACACGAACAGCGAACAACAACAAGTATTATTTTATTATTAACCTTGAAAAAAATATCTGTTTTATTATTGTTGTTTAAATATTTAGTATAGATTTCTCACACAAGCCAACCAATGGCTCTCTTTAAGTCCCATGGCTCTGTGTTAAACAAAACTAAACAACAACAACGGCAGCAATACAAGACAACAATACTAATAGTGGTATCTTCTCTGTTCTCATTGTATACACAGAGAGAAAGAGCACACTACTATATTCATCATACGCCATACAGTGTAGTGTTTGTGTAGTAGGGAAGAAGAAGCACAGTACGGTTAGCCATATGAGTGAGTAATGACAATGACGACGGCAACGAAGGCCAAACTATATGGCATGTTCGTTCGTTCATTCGTTTGTTTGGTATTGTTGTTGTTGCTGCTACTACTGCTGTTATTATTCTTGTTCTTGTATTTCTAAAGGTGTTATGGGGTATGTGCGTGTGTGTGTATGTAGTAAAAGAAGGTTGTGGGCATTTTGTTCTTGTGCAGCCTTGGTCAAGTGCAAATTGCCGGTATATATCCTCGTTGTGTGTGAAGAAAAAAAATAAATATACGACCGGTATGCAAAGACAAGGCAGACAGACAAGCAAAGCGGATATACCAAAAAACAAAAGGTTATTTGGTAGGAAAAAGGGTTGCCAGACATATTTAAAACATGAAATAAAATATCCAAAAAATAAAAAAATTAAATTAAATAAAAAAATAAAATAAAAAATTAAAAAAAAAAAATATAAAATAAAAATAGAAATTAAAAATTGAAAAAAAATTTCTATTAAATATAAATAATTAATAAAAAAATAAATATATAATTTTGGTATTATTTATCATTTATTTTTTCTTATCTAATTTTTTTGTTGTTGTTGTTTCTACTTCTTGTTCCATTTTATTCTTAACTAATTATAAACATGTTTTCCAGGTTCCAAAATATAATATTGTTCAGGAAAGAAATATAAAAAAAAATTGAAACACACTCACATTAAACAAAATAAAAAACAACAATAAATTTTTTTTTCTCAGACAAGGTCAGCTAGAACGTCACTTTTTTGTTGTTTGTATATATTATTTAGCAGTGTTATTTTGTTGTCGCATTTTTATATTTGCATGTTATGCCCCGCGGCCACCTGAATATGGCAGTTAAAAAAAATACTTTGTCATTAATATTTTTTGCCTTTGTTTCACACACACACATCAAAAAAATTAGCTTTAGTCATCAAATTTCTGAGCTAAAGTTCTGCTGTGCAGTTCGCTTTTTTATTGTCTCCAATTTAAATATAAAAAAAATATTTACTTTCATATTAATTATCAACAATCACAATAATGCTCGTGTGTGCATTCACTGTAGTTGTTGTTTTTGTTGACATTAAATATTCGAGCAAATGTCAAAGTCAAGTACAAATTAACACGAGGTCTCTTTGTGAATTTGTAATAAAAAGCAAAAAAAAATAAATAAACAGTAATGCAATGAAATGCAATTAAAATAAGCAATTAGGAAATGTGTTCCTAACATATAAAAATATATTTCCTTAATGATATGAACTATTTCCTAATAAATTGGAATTTATAGATTTATATTTTTAAAGGGAAAAGGTTTCAAAATTGTGTATCATTTTCTTATGTAAGGAAATTTTATGAAAAAAGTTTCCTAAATTTTATGAAAATATTTCCTAGAACTTTTTCATTTTATTTTTAGAATGTTTTTCCTAAGTTAAAAAAATAATATTGAAAATTATTCCAACAAAATTAAAAAACTTTTCTTCTTATTATGAAAAATTATCTTTAATTTAGGAACTTTGTTCATAAATATAAAAAAAATCTTAATTTAATTGCCTTAAAAAAATGATTAAATTCCTCAAAATTACCCATAATTCTAAATTATCAATTATACGAAAAAAAATCCTCCATCAAAGAAGAAAAAAATCTGCTGCAACAACAAAACAAAATTAATCTTGTTTATTACTTGCTGTTGCTGCTACGTAGTAGTACTCATCAATATATAGAATTGCCATTGTTGTTGTTTCTTCTTCTTGTTTTCAAGGAACGCAACAGAGACGACCTTGGCGGGTGTTATTTTTTAACCTTGAATTTTTTTCGTATAAAATAACAACAAGAACAATAATCATCAACAAAAAAAATTAAGAACACAAAAAAAGAAGATTGAAATAAAAAACGACGTAGCAGACACAGTCGGCAGCAGCACTTGGCAACACTTTGCCCTCTCTTCGGAACAATAAAAACCCAAAAATAAAGAAAAAAAAAACAAGGAGAGGAGGAGATCAAGGAGTAAAGAAAAAAAATAATCTTAATTTGTTGTTGTATTGAAACCTGACTCAGCAAAAAATTGAATTTATTAGAATATTTTTTTAATTTAATTTCAGGATTTTTTTGTAATTTTTTTTAATACAGAAATAATAATTTTTAAATAAAAAAAACTATTTGAAGTGATTTTTTTCATGTTTAAGCAGCTTTTTTGAGTTACCCCACGTTGGGCGCCACTTTATTATAATTGCTATATTTGCCAGTTTTGCAGTGTTTCTAATTTTTTAATAATGAATTTACATGGATTACTATTTAATTTATTTATTTTTTAAATTTTTATAAGTACCCACTTTGGGCGCCACTTCATTCCAATTGCAATATTTGCCATTTTTGCCAGTTTCTAATTATAAATATTTTTTAATAATAGATTTACATTAATTTCTATTGAATTTTCTCCACTTTTTAAAACTTTAGAGCATTTTACAAGTACCCACGTTGGGCGCCACTTTATCCCACATGTTATTACGTTGTTATTTTTGGTCAATATTTGGTATTTTTTATTTTTTAGCAATTATTTTCATTTAATAACATTAATTTTACATGAAAAATGACTTCAAAGGAGGTCCCACGTTGGGCGCCACTTTAGTGGAAATATGAGAATTTTCTAAATTTAATAATTTTGTATTTTTAGGTAATTTTTGTTATTCTCAAAAATTATTTTACATGAAATTTTATTCAGAAGGAGGTTCCATTTGGGCGCCACTTTAGTGAAAATATGGGCATTTTTGAAATTTAATAATTTTGTATTTTTAGATAATTTTTGTTATTCACAAAATTGATTTTACATAAATTTTTTATGCATAACTAGTACCACGTTGGGCGCCACTTTAGTGGAAATGTAAGAATTTTCGAAATTAAATAATTTTGTATTTTAGGCAATTTTTGTTATTCACAAATCTGATTTTACATAAAATGTTTATGCTTCGCTGGTCCCACATTGGGCGCCACCTTAGTGGAAATGTAAGAATTTTTGAAATGTAATAATTTTGTATTTTTAGATAATTATTTTCATTCGCAAAATTAATCTTAACTAAAGTTTTTATGCATAGCTAATCCCACGTTGGGCGCCACTTTAGATAAAATTTCAAATTTTCCATATTTTGATAATTTTGTATTTTTTGTTAATATTTTTTATACTAACTAGAACATTTTTTTATATTGAAAAGTAGTGGCATTGCTCATAAAAAAATATATATTTTAGAAACTAGGAAAAACCTTGCTTGTTATATCTGTGTGTTTTATTGTTATAACAATGACTAGTTTTTTAGTTTTCATTGAAGAAAAATCTTGCTAATTTCCTGGTTTAAAGACCTTAACTAAACCAAAAATAAATTCGAAATCAAAACTAAAACTTCAATTGTGTGTTTTTAACACCTTTTTGGTGGCTAAACCTAATTATAATATGTTAATTATTTCTCAAACACACACACATTAAGAAGCATGTTAACCTTGTCCATGGTGTCTCAGTCTTGTTTGTAGTTATAATTTTATGTTTGGATTTTTAAAATTTAATTTTTATTTTAACAACTTACCAATAATGTTGGCATTGAATAGGAAGGACATTCACGGGCTCTTTGGCGCATGGCGGCTACCTTTTCTTTGGTAAACTCGCAGGTATCCAAATGAGCTCTCAATACGGCCGACAATAGCCGCGGCTGATCGTCGAGTTCCGAGGCCAAGGCACGCTGTTGGCCACGATTTTGTGTGGATTGTTGCATGGCGGCCAATATGCGAGCCTTTTCACGTTTCGGCACGCGACCAAATCGCACAGCTAAAATGAGAAGAACAAAATTTTAAATTAATAAAAATTATTTTAGAAACAGGTGTATTTTTTGTGGTTAATGCTTAACAATAAACTAGGTAATTTATGTAAAGTCGCCAGCTGGAAAAAAACAACAAATTCAAAACCCTTCAACCCTAACCAAAAAAATAAAAATTAAGGCCAAAACCATGGCCTTTTGTTACAGGAAGTCCACCACTAAGGGGACATATTATAGAGCAATCTGTCGCCTGGTTTTTGTAACCCTTTTTCATAATGCCAAAAAATTAAAAACGTTTTTTTCTGCTTCTTCTTCTTCTGTCATGTTATTGAGCGTTGCACGTTTTTTAATGGCTCTGTTGTGCCTACGTTTTATTTCGCTTTTTTCGGTTTTTGTTTTATTTTTGTATGGTGGAAGGCCCTTTAAGTAGGTCATTGCCTTTTTGACTTTTATGTTGTTGGTGTTGTTGTTGTTGTGTGTGGCTGTGTTAAATATAAGCCAGACGCGTTTTGCTTACAATGAATGCAAGCAGCGGTAATGTAAACCTAGCAGCTGTCATTGCTATACCAACAGACATTGAGACAGACCTACATACACATCATGCGACTGAATGAAAAAAAAAAAATAAAATCCAAATGTTACACTTTCTCTTTTGTTTGTTTGATTTTTTTTTTTGTCTAAAAAAATCTCACCCACCATCCGAAAGTCACGTTTTTGTTTTGAAATGGTGAAACGGCCCTTACATTATTACCATATCTGTCTCTAAAAAAGAGGGGTCATGACCCAGTAGTGGAGTTTTGGTTGATGGTTTTGAGGCCATCGTGTAAAGCTGCTGCTGCCGCTTGTCAAAAAGAAAGTTGCTGCTCCACTTAGTTTTTTTTCTTTTTTTTTTAAATTTTGATTTTTTAATATTGAAGTCAATGATAGCAGAAGAAGGAGATGAAATGTTTATCAATGTTAAAAACTCAATTAATTAATATTTCATTTTCAACTTCTTCTTTCTATGGATGCTTCTTTTGGAATGAGGTTAAAACGATACAGAACTAATTTCTCTATTTTATGCCCCAAGGGATTGACATACATTTTTTTCAAGCAATCAATTTTTTTAAATATAAATATTAATTTAGAATTTGAAATATATCTGGATGCCATTTATATTTTTAAAATATAAATTTTTATAAAAATCATTTAAACATTAAGAAATTATAGGTAATTATGAAAATATTAAAATTGTAAAGAATTAGTAAAATGTTCAAGTTGGGCGCCACTTTTGAAAATTTTATAAAAAATCTTTAAATATGGAAATACGAATTTCAGAATTAAAAAAAAACACATAGTAAATAAAAATTTATAAATTTTAAGATCTTTTGTGGGTAAACCACGTTGGGCGCCACTTTATCCAAATTGTAATTTTTCGATTATTTGGTAATTTAAAAAAAAACATAGTAAATAAACATTTATAATTTTTAACATCTTTTGTGGTTACCCCACGTTGGGCGCCACTTTATCCAAATTGTATTTTTTTTCGATTTTTTGGTAATTTTTTAATATATTTTTAACTAATCATTTAAATACTAAGAAATTATTAATAATTAATAAAATATAATAATTTTAAAGAATTTTAGAAATGTCCATGTTGGGCGCCACTTTTGAAAATTTTATAAAAATGTCTTTAATATGGACATAATGGAATTTAAGAATTAAAAAAACATAGATAAAGAAAATTTATTGTTTTTGAGATCGTTTGTGGGTACCACACGTTGGGCGCCACTTTATACAAATTGTAATTTTTCGGTTATTTTGAAATTTTGTAATTTTTTAATGTATTTATAAAAAGTATTATTAATAATTGTTTTATTTTATATTTATTAAAAATACTTTTTAAAATTTTTTCATTTTTTTATATATATTTTTTATTTCTAATTATATTTTATTTTCGTAATAATACTTGTTTATGCAAATTGCAATTAAAATTCTACTTCTTTAAAAAAAAAAACATAATTTTTGTTATTTTTAATTTTATTTTTCAATATTAGTTGTATTATTTATTTTAAAATTTATTAAAAAATTAAAAATTGTTATATTATTATTACTATTTTTTATTTTTTTTTTAATTTGTAATTTTTTTAATATTTTTTAATTTATTTTTTTTTTATTTTTAAATTTTTTATTTATTTTTTATTTGATATTTTCAACTTATTTTATAATTTGTAATATTTTTTTTAATTTTTATTTATATTATTTTTAATTTTTATTAAATTTTTTTTTTTATTTTGATTTTTTTTTTGTTTTAATTTTTTTTTTATATTTTTTTTTTGTTTTAATTTTTATTTTTCAATTTTATTAATTTGTAATATTTTTTATTTTAATTTTTTTAACTTATCCAATTTCTATTTTTTTTTTTTCGTTTTACCCCATTGCCCTAAATATGTTTTTTCTCTCTCCAAAAATCTCAAATTTGTTCCTATTTTCCATCATTCATTTCATTAATGTTTATTTTATTAACATAACTAACCTAAAATTAGTGTTAAAACTGACACCAATTGAAATTTCTCTTTTCATCAAAACCAAACATGCTCATCATTATCCCCATCATCATCATCATCATCATCATCATTGCCATCAAATACAACTTCTAAGCAATTAATAAAAGAATAGCCAGTCAGCCAGAGAAAGAAAGAAAAAAAAAAACAGAAACACTCGTCGTTTACATTTCTAACTATCCAATTTTTTTCTGTTTGATATCAATAAACATTTAAAAGTAACAACAACAACGACCACAATAATAACAATATTCCACATAAAGTGAGAGGAAATCTCTCTTTTTTGTTTTTGTTGAAATCATTTTATAGGTTTGTTGTCTAGCTTTCAAAATATCTTTCTATGCTGTGCTATGGCTGTGTTGTGGATGTTACTACTGACACACTTTTCTTCTTCTGCTGCTGTGGGGCCATCAAACACACAGCCACACACACAACACAACAAGCCGGCTTTCAAACATTTGGAAAGCAAACCAGGTCAAATGAAAATGAAAACTCGGTTTGAATGAAAGAAAGAAGCATGCCATGCCATGGTTAACGCCAACCAACAAAAAAAAATGCGACGACTTCAACGACGTTGTTGTAAAAAAAAAATGGGGGACGAAGAGAAATTAGAGCGCGCTTTGAAAGCTAAAACCAAAAACAAAACAAAAACGAGATTTCAAACGCACAACTTTCTTAAGACCACAACAATAACACACAGAGCACCACACACACACATTGGGGTGTACCCCAAGAGAAATGGAAACAAAACAAAAAAAAATAAAAGTTGGTCACACACATCTAGCACGCACACTAACAGAGTTGGGCATGTAAATAAACTACTGTTAATGGGAGTTTAATAATGAAAATAAAAGGCTTATGCATGGCCGCCTTGTAAACTTAAGGTCGTGGGTTCAAACCCCGACAAGAGCATTTAATTAGAAAAATATTTTTTAGTAGAAAATAATATTTTTTTAAACAAGAATTAAATAAAAAATATTTTTTTAAACAAAAAATTAATCGAAAAAAAATATTTTTACTTAAAAAAATTATTTCAAAATTAAAATTTTATTTTTTATTAAAAATGTATTTTTTACAAACAAAATAATTTTTTTATTTAAAATGAAAAAAATATGAATAATAAAAAATATGTTTTTTAATAAAAGCATTTTTTCCCATAAAAATTTATTTTTATAGAAAAAATATTTTTTCTATAAAAATTTATTTTTTATTGAAAAATTATTTTTTTTTTCTATAAAAACTAAAAATATATTTTTTACATAAATTTAAAATTTTTACTTTTTACATTTTTTTATTTATTTATTTTTTTTTTTTTTTTGTCAAAATAATAAATATGAGTAAAAGCCAGTTTTTTTCTCTTTTTCAATTTCACTTTAGTTAAAAAATATGCACAGAGACACACAGCCGCAATACATAAACAAAAAAACCCAAACCTGTCTAGGCGAATAAAACACGTGAATTGGGGTTCGCATTTAATTACAACAAAAAATAAAAATAAAAACTAAAAACAGGAACAACAACAAAAACACTTACGGGCATTGTGATAGTTGACATTGCCTTTGAGTATACTTTTTAATATGGGTAATTCTTCAGCCATTTCTGCTGAGTTTATGTGTGTGTTTGTTTTTTGGGGGGATTGTTTTGGTTTCAATTTTTTTCTTTTCAAAAACGAAATTTTTGGCGTTACTTTTCTTTTTCAAAACAACATTAAAACGCCTTTTGATTCCATTAGTAAAGATATACTTTTTTGTATTTGGGTGGAAATAAAAGTTGGCACAATTTCACTGATTTTCTGCTTCTTTCAAAACTTGTGTGACATTTCAAAACTTTTTTATTTATTTGGGGGAAAAATCACCAGGTACTTATTTGAATTTTTCTTTTTATGTTTTAAATTTTATTTTGAAATATTTCAGATTTTTTGTGTAAAACTTTTTTTGTAACAGGAACTTTGAATTTCTTTTTGAGATATATTTTTTTAATACAAAAAAATATTTTTTTTCTATTTTATTTTTTATTAATAAAATATTATTTGGTTTGAAATATAATTTTTAGCGCGTAATCCTCTGGGTGTGAACGGAATATTAACTGCTGCCACTGCTGCTTGATGATGTTGTATATTTTATTTTTATTTATTAATTTATTTATATTTATTATTTTTGTTATAATATAAAATATTTCATTTGAAAATCTTTGGATTTGGTTTTGTTTTCATTCAAATACTTTGCCGTGTTATTTTCATATTTTTTTGCATGTCACCACTTTTATTTCAATACAATATTTCAGAATTTTTTCTTTCTTTCATTCATAAATAAATTCTTTATTTTTTCATTTAAATAATTTATTTGTAGTTTCTATTTTTTCATATAAATAATATTTTCTTCAATTTTGATATTTATTTCTTGCGTTGATATCCACTGTGTTGTTTGGTAGTATTTCTTTTTTCATCTAGTTTATATTTTAGATTTTCT